CTAGCTATGGTGATGCAGCTCACCCGTGGCTAGCTGAGATTCTAGCAATCCAAGGTTCAACACCTCTGTGGCTCACAGCAGGAGTTCCAATTTTCCGGGCCACCCTAAACTTTGAAGCAAAAGGGTGGCAAACGTTCGTGTGTAGCCGCATTGACCCATGCCTCAATGAAAACATGCTCTCACTTCCTCGTGCAGTTTTGGTGGGCATCGATTATGGCTGGCTATCCGATAAATGTTGGTGTCATCATGTCCACCAACATCACCTTAGTTGTCCAGAAGGGTAAGAGATCCTATCCGTACCCGAACTTCCTCACTGAATACTTCAAAGATCAAGGGGTGGAGCCGAAGCATAATGACACCAAGGTGAAGCCCAAGAATACTTTCTCATGGTACCACTTCCAGGGAGCTGACAACTCGAAGTTCAAGGGTAAAGCTACTACCTCTGCTGGCCAGTCTGAGGAGCCAACGGTAGTAGTTACTGATTCAGCTGACGATCCTTCCACAGCAATCGGTACTTCCACCGGGACAACAACCATGCCACCTTCATCCTCTGGTCCACCAAATTCAGCTAGATTATCAGTGCCGTTACCTGTGCTAGCTTCCTCTACTTATCCTCAGACTGCGCTGCGAGTCTCCCAAACATTGGCGAGTCTCAACAACTAGATGCAGGCAGCTACTACAAAGCTGATTGATATATCCAGTGTTGTTGCAGAACAGTCCTCAGCCCCAGCAGAGCCACAGGTGCCTCCGTCAGTGGAGGAAGCATTGAAGAAGATTATGGCCGGCCATAAGACTATCATGGATAAAGGGGAGGCACAAGGGAAAGTTATTGAGGATTTGGGCAAACAGGTCAAGAAGATTCGGAGATCTCAAGCATCAAAGAAGTCTGTGGATAAGCGGAGAAAAGAGATTGAGAAGATTACATCTGCCGGTGATTTACCATTGGAACTGCTCATGGAGACATCACCCCCAGCAACACAGGCACCCCCAGCAGCACAGACAGCACCAGAGGCAGTAGTCGGCCAGTTTGAGGAGCCAGTTTCCACTTTCACACTGCTGAGGAGATGATCCAATTGCTCAGCAACCCAGTTGTCCCTCGCCAGGTGATGATGAGATACAACTTGAGGCCAAGGTTGCTGATGATCCTATGCAGACTGAGACCACATAGGGAGTTCTCTTAACTCTCTACCCTTTCCATGTTCTTATTTTTGTTAAGCATTAGGACAATGCTTATTTTCATTTGGGAGGGGCGGGGGAGGGGGGGGGGGAGGGGTTGGTCTATTTTGATTATTTGACATTTGGATTGTAATAACTCTGATACTATTTTTCTTTCATCTTTATTTTCCTTTGGTATGTATATATTATCTCCATTTGATGTAAATATGCATTTTCCTTATATATATTCTTTTCCCTTCTGTATATATTCATTTGACTTCGGTTTGTATATTTATTTATCTCGCTTTCCGTAGTTTATTTCATAGATTCTTTAGTTTGTTTTTCCTTAGTAGTATAACTTCTTATTTACTTCATTAACTTCTTTTTAATTTGCTAGCTTCTTTTTACATTGTAAGTGAACAATAAGCCTTTGGTTTTCTTAATGCCACGGTTGGTGGATTATGTGTGAACCGGGTGGCTCTTCCCAACAATGGATGGCGTGACAACCTTCTTAAGGGATTGAGTCCATTTCTTTTATGTTTTGGCAAATGTAATAGTAATGAATAAACGGGGTCTCAAGCATGCTTCACTTGGTACCAACATATTTACCTATGATCGTATGGCTAAAAACAAGTTGTTGGCAGAAAATAGATTTAGTTGTGACACTTCTTGTGTTGACTTAAGCAGCCATCGAGTGGTTCAAATCGAGCCATTTGTGATTCTCAATCTTAGCTAAGGTTGTTGTGGGCCCTCGACTCTGTTCTCTTTAGCAATCCAGAAGCGTGAGAGGTGAGATGTTTAGTTACAAGTCCAAGTACCCTGCTAATAGTCTAGAACTTGCCCTGAATGTTTTTCTAGGCGAAATTCTAAGTGTAGCTTGGCTTGAGAAATGATTGTAGGCTCTCCTTGATCTAATTTAAAATTTGAAATCTTCCATAGCCTACCAATGTGATATCCTTAGTCAACCCCTTTGAGCCGAAGCCTTTTTTCTTTCAATAACCACGTTACAAGCCTTCATCCGTTTTGTAACGACCCTCTCTTGGCACCCGATCTTTCCTTAGCATTCTTAAAAAACAATTGGCAAAAACATAAGTTTGGGGGAGAGAAGAGGAGTTTTAAAGTGATGAAAGGTACAAAGATGAGAAAGAAATGAAGAAAAAGGAAGGCAAAAAAAAGAAAGAACAAAAAGAAAAATGCCAAAAAGAAAGTGAATAAAGTGAAGAGTTGGAGGGAATTCAAAAGAAAATAAAGAGGAAAGGCTGAAGTAAATAGAAAAGGAGAAAAATGAATGTCATGATCAAGAAATAATGACGTTACGTCTCTCTAGTTCCCCCGAGGAAGAAGAAAATAACTCAAAGAGCCAAAAAAGTATGAGCCGAAAAGAGAAAATGGAGTGTTTAAGGAAAGATGAAACCATTCTATTCCAACAAGTCCTACCTTGATCCAAAAGACTTCATTGCACCCCGCAAAAGTCCTACATGATTTCAAGTTGAGTGAGCTTACATTAGTGGTGATTTACATAAGGGGCAAACTTATGGTACTTAAAGCCGGACTTGTGACGATCTTTTGAGAGAGATGAGAGAACTTTTCACAATCTCTGCTTCGAGTGTTACATTCTAAAGTGAGATTTTCTAATGGAGAGTGAAGGAGGAAGAGTTTGGGATCCACAATGACCTACATGAAAGAGCGAGCTTCCTTGATGAATAGAGTCAACTCTTGATGCTCTAATGTCACACTAGAACTATGGTACTCAAAAAGTCATATCATGGTGTTGTTGATAATCATATGTGTTGTGGGTAATTGTTGGTCCCAATTGATGTGTAATTGATTCACCTTAGGCTAGCTGAAATATCCCTTTTTCTAGTGAAGTTGGAAATTTCCTTATTTGCTTGAGGACAAGCAAAAGCTTAAGTTTGGGGGAGTTGATAAGTAGGGATTTTGACCGCTAATCTGCTCTCTTTTACTTGCGTTTTAGCTCAAAAATGCTTAAAGGTATTCCTGAAAACTAACAAAATGTGCTTACTTGCAGGAATATTAGGAAACGGGCCAAAGAAGTCAAAAGCAACTCAAAAGGGAGTCAAAAGTGAGCAAGAACCAAAATCGGACAAAAAGGCTAGGAGTGTGGACCGCACAATTCTAGTGCGGCAGCAGAATGAAGAATCAGAGAGTAGTGTTTTGGCCAGCTCAGGGAGTGTAGACCGCACCGAAATTGTGCTGCCGCAATCATTATTATGCGGTCCGCAAGATTGAAGATTCAGAGAGTTGTTTCAAGTCTAATAGCAGAAGAGTGCGGACCGCATTACTTTTGTGTGGCCGCATAATTAGAAGTGCGGCCGCACCCACTTTTATGCGGACCGCAGAAGCCTGAAGTTCCAAGCCCAAATTCCCAAGACTGCGGACCGCACGATAATTGTGCGGCTGCAGAAGCCCATTGTGCGGACCGCACCAGAATTATGCGCCCGCACAACCTTCGCATGTGCATTTTTGTCCGATATATTCAGCTTAGTATAAATAGAACTTTTTATCATTTTTAGGTTAAGTTCGATTTTTAGAAGTGCACATGAGCCGTTTTTTTTACTTCTTTGAGTAATTTTGTACTAGATTGACTTCTAAACATTAGATTTTCTTTGTTTAATCAATTATTATGCAATATATCTTAATTTCTTCTTGTATTTCTTTATTTTTCATGAGTAGCTAAATCTTTAGCTAGGGTTGTGGCTCAATCCTAGTATGGGTACTTAATGGGTATTTAATTTTAGGGCTTGTTCGTAATTGGTTTGTGATATTTATCCTTGTTTATGCTTGAATTCTAAAATTAATGGTTGCAAACATTGATTCATGCCTATTTGACCTAGTCTTTACTTGAGAAAGAGAGACTAAGTTTAGGAAAGCTTGGCTAACAAGGAATTTGAGTGAACTCAAGAAATTGATAGTCCCAATTAAAGGGTCAAATCTAGAGATAGTAAGACCCGACTTGAGCATATATCACTTGATCTGTGCAATACCCATTTGGGCTTGAGAAAGCCAAATTGGGCAAAATCACTCAAACTACCGAGAGGTACAGAGTGAGCAATTGCGTGTGATTGCTATATTGCGATCCCGATTAATCAAACTTGCCCTATAGTTTACAACCCGTTAGGTAGCCACCTAGGTGGAGGTCACGACCCTAGATCCTTACCATTTGAAAAACACCCAAAACCAAAAATATTGTCTTCTAGTTTATTATTTGCAATCATTAGTTAAATGTGAAAATAGAAACAACCACCAAATATGTGGAAGCGCAATCTTAGGCACACCATACATTCACACCAGGTGTATACCTAATCCAAATTCTAACTCCCTGTGGATTCGACCCCGACTTGCGTTAGATTTTTATTATTGCTTCGACCGCCTCACTACCTATAATTGTGATGTGAGCATCGTTCCCTCCAAGAACTCCCCACCTTGCTCTTGGATGACTCGAACTCACAACCTCATGATTGGAAGTGAAGGGTGCTTACCACCAGAGCAACCCACTCTTGTCTGAATTTCCGACACCCATTAACTGATTGGCATGCTTGAGCCAAAAAAATGTATCTCTTCTTTATATATATATATATATATATATATATATATGATACTTATATAAAAATAATATATTTGAACCTAATAAATTAAATAAATGTTCGAACTCTTAAAGTTTAAATTATTAATCCCCGCCTAAATTATGGTAGTTAGATATTTTTTTCCAGAAAGTATGCAATAAAAACTTAATATAATATGGAAAATGGTGTTCTAAAATAGTATTAAAAATTAGGCCCCACCTACCTTTTGTGTGGCCTGCGCTCTCCACGTAACAAATAATTCTATCTTCTCACTCTCTATCACTAGTTTTCCCGCCCCACCATGCACCGTCGTCATTATGGGCTGCTCCGCCACCCTCCTCCCTTCTCCTCCTCCTCATCTCCACCGTCCCCCCACCTTCAAACCTCTCCTCAACCGCCGTTCACTTCTCTTTCTCTCCACCACCCTCTCATTCCCCGCCACCACCATTTCCACTTCCTCCGCCACCCCGCCACCCCCCAAACCAGACACCACCATAACCGAACGTGTCTATTTAGACTTCAGCATTTGCCCTAATTACTTCACAAACAGAACTCTCGGCGATGACTTGTCAAATTGCTCTGATTCCGAACCAATTGGTCGCCTTGTTCTTGGCCTATACGGAAACCTAGTTCCTATAACAGTTTCAAATTTCAAAGCTATGTGTACAGGTACCTCTGGTTCAACTTATAAGGGCACTTTGGTCCAGAAAATTTTCCCGGGTCAGTTTTTTATGGCGGGAAGACAGGGTAGGAGAGATAAAGGAGAAGTGAAACCACCGTTGGAGTTGATTAGAAATACAGAGACAATTGAATCTAAAGCTTTTATTTTGGAACATTCTAGGGGTGGAATAGTTTCATTGCCTTTATCTGAGAATGATGATGATGATGATTTGAAGTTGAATCCTAAGTATCATAATGTGGAGTTCTTGATTACTACTGGACCTGGTCCTGCTCCTCAGCTTGATAGCAAGAATATTGTTTTTGGAACTGTTCTTGAAGGTCAGTCCTCATAATCTATAAATTTATAATCTCTTTTAGTTGAGTCAATTTAACTTACATACGCCGACAATACAAGAACAACGACGACGACCCAGTAAAATCCTACAAAGTGGGGTCTGGAGAGGGTAGTATGTACGCAGAACTTATCACTACCCCGATGGGACAGAGAGTCTGTTTCCGATAGACCCTACAATTCATCGGTAACGTCAGTAGAAACCATAGAAATAATAATAGAAGCATAAAGCCATAAAATAGATGACATGCAATAACAATACCAGTAATTAAGGCCCGGGGACAAGATAAACAGAAAGGATTGTGTGGACTTAACATTAACCCCTAACCATCTAAGATCAACCTTATCAAACTCGCCTCACCCCCGGTATGAAGTAGAAAAAGCTCGACTACCCCCTAGCCTACAACCCTAATGCATGTCCAGACCTTGTTATGTCCTCGGAAATATGTAGTCGTGTCATGTCCTGCCTGATCACCTCACCCCAATACTTCTTAGGTCGCTACCTCTTCTCGTACCCACCAAAGCCAACCGCTCACACCTCCTCACCGGAGCATCAAGGCTTCTCCTCCGCACGTGCCCGAACCATCTGAGCCTCGCTTTCCGCATCTTGTCATCCACAGGGGCCACGCCCACCTTCTCCCGAATATCCTCATTCCTAATCTTATCCGTCCTAGTGTGCCCGCACATTCACTTCAACATACTCATCTCTGTTACCTTCGTCTTCTGGATATGAGATTACATACTCTGACAATATAAAGAATTTTTACTTATTTGTCTATTTAAACTTGTTGTAGGAGGTAACATGCTTTATATTAGTTATCTTTTAGGTGATCTGATAGTTTAAAAGAAATTTTACATTGTGGGTTTATGGAAGTTGAACACTTTAGTTAATCCCACTATAGTTTACCAGCTGAGCTAAGGTCGGAAGACTTATTTATTTAGTTGGCATATATGCATGTTTAGGGTAAAAGGGCGCCTTGGTATAGTGTATGTTGCGACAAACTCAAATGTTTGCTTAAGAAAGTCTGTCAAATATGTTTTGATTATAGAAATAAGGAGGAACAAGGATACTTCCAGAGTTGTCTATTTTATTGAGATAATGGACCTAGTGAAGCAGGATGGACAGAGTATTGACTAGTCGATCCCAAATAATTTGGAATTGAGGCATAGTTGATTGACTGGTTAGTCCAAAGTTGATACCAAGTAATTTGGAATTGAGGCCTAGTTGATTAATTGATTAGTCCATAGTTGATACATCATATGGATGTGTAGTTCTAGAATCAGTCTGTTACATTGCTATTGTGCCATTTGTTTAAGTCTTTTATTACCTTATTATTGGTTTTAATGGTATAAATTCAGAGCCATTTTCTTTACTAAATAAGCTACTTCTTGTTTTCGATCGAAACTGCACATTTCACCCCTGAGACTCCAATTTGGTTCTTGTGTTTTTGGTTGAGTGATTAAAGACTTCACTTATGGTTCAATCAAAAGAAGGCTTTGTTATAATATATGGACAGGCATGACATGCTAGCTCAAACTTTAGGCTATCTCAAGCTTTATCCTCTATGTTTACTATTGATTCTGACTTCTATTCCTCTCCTTTTAATCATCCTGTTTGCTGCTCAAACCAGTAGCAAAGGCACCTCTGAGCTCACATTCTTTTAAGAAAGTGTTCTTAAATGGAAAAATGTGAAGGGATTAGTGCATAATGAGTTTCTCAGCTTTTACGGAGTTGATCAAGACTGTATGAAATGTTGGAAGTTTACCTCGACTTATCAAGTCTCCTGCAAGATTTAGCTCACAGTAAGACACTTTGGGTGTTTAAGCTTGCGTTCTATGATCCAAGTGTACATCTTGTGAGCAACTAGGACTTACTACTGATTATTATTAGGTGAATGTTGAGTCAGGTTAAATATTATCCAGCTGGTTAGTATAAATTCTACCAGGTCAAATTAGGCAGAGAAATTGAAGGAACAAACATGATGTGTAAGAATAAGTTATAGGAAAAAGAAAATGCATAAATTGAGATGGTTGTTTCCCAATAGTTAACGCAAACAGGAACTATCGGAGTGTTTGAACGCTAGACAACACTAACACCCGCAGAGAAAACCTTCAACAGCATAGACTTTTGCGCCTGGTGATATTAGAAGTTAGAACTTTTTCACCTACAATCTAAGTCAATTCATCTATCTGTTTATTTGCTTTGCTCCGTTGTTGTGTAGTAAATATTGCTGTGGCATTGCTTGAGATGTCTAACTGTCAGCTTTAGGCAGGGATCAAGTCTTGTTCTGTGTTAAATATGTCAACTGTGTCTTGTAGAGAGAAAAATAGAACTAGAAATTATGCTAGGATTCAATGTAACAGCTTGTGGTTTAAACATGCTGTGAAGTGGGCTAAACTCACAATTGTGAACAGTGAAAAGCTATGCATTCAACTCATTTTCTTCAAGGTTTACATTCAATTCTCTTGTATCGGAAACAACCCCTCTCCCTTCCCAGGGTTGGGGTAAGGTTGCGTATATCCTACCCTCCCCAGACTCCACTTGTGGAAATCCACTGGTATGTTGTTGTTGTTGTTGTTGTTCATTGCTCAATGAGCCAAACAAGATGAGAGGTTCGGAGTTTGAGTCACCAAGCGGGAAAAGAGGGAAAAGCTAATGTCCGCCCTCGGGGATGGGGGTTACAAAGATGGGGTTCATGTCAAAAATAAAACTAAAAGAGACCTTTTAGGATGGCTAAAAAAAACCTATGCTCCAGGATGGAGAAATGAAAGAATAAGAATGATTAGTTCCCTATTTAGATTTGCAAAAGGATTTTGGCTCAATAAATGTGTGCAGCGAAAATACTGCATTAATAAAAGTGACATGCCACTATTTTGTATACTAATACCACTTTCGTTATAGTTACTAACATGAAACTTACATGCTGAAACAGAATCCATCTATTTAATATCAAAAGCTCACTCTTTTTCTCTTTTTCTTGCACTGTACTGCAGGTATGGATATTGTGACAACTATAGCTGCCATTCCCACTTATAAACCATCCGAAAATATTCGACAGTACAATGGATTTGCCGAGCTTCTTGGAGATGGAAGAGCAAAAACTGCTCGCGCAATCTGGAATAAACCACAAAAGACTGTTTACATCAGTGACTGTGGAGAACTCAAAGTGGCAAAGCCTACACTTTCGCCTAGCCTACCTTGATATGTCAACATCTCTTCACATTCCTCATTTTATTTCCATACACTGTTATATTACCATGACTTGTACAGGATTCTCTTTTCTGTATGTTACATTTGAGAGAAGAGGATTCACATAATGCACAGCTTTTAAGTTGACAAGTCTGTATGATTAGGGATAATGTTGGAATCAAACTAGAAAAAGGCCAATGAGCTTCATAAATTTTCTTCTGTACACGTATATTCTGAAGTACGTGGCATGCACCCATTGGCACTACAGTGTCGTTTTTTTTGGGACGCAACCTTATCACCTTGCATTGTGTCAATGGGTTCCGCCACCAACTCTAGCTAATAAGTTGAGTCCCCCTTTATTCTTTTTCAGAAATAGAACAGAATAAAGAATGAGGTAGTCTATATCTTGTATCGAAGAGTCGATCATAGTTTACTCTATAAATAGGTCATTTCCTTGATACATGCGGGGGAAGAAGAATTAACCCAAATCACCACCCACCTAATCTCTTAAACTAAAAATAGCTGGCGGATGTACAATATATGTATAATTAATGTATAATGTATGTATACCGGCTAGAAAAAATAAACATTGAATCTGGCCAGAAATGTCCGTCAGTCATTTGGGCCTATAGTAATGGACCAGACCATGGGATTCTTCTACTCATCTGGCCTATAGATGCTGCCCCACGTTACTGAAGCCCTTGACAAAATATACCAAAGTCAGTTACAAGTTGTACTTCCATGAATTCCTAAAAAGAAATGAGAGGTAGAATTGGAGTTGGTAAGACATGAAAAAGAAGACGATTTTAGTTATATGCAAAAATTGACAGTGTAAATGTTTTTTGCATTATCAATGTAGTTTAACCTGTTCTAATAGATTACTTATTATTTGTACTAAATTACTAACTAATTAATACTTATTTCTTAGATCTTAAACTCCCAAAAAAAAAAAGGAGAAGAGCAAAGCAATGTCCCAACCCTACACTATTAAAAAGGTTAATGAGGTAAGCAAATGTCAAAGCATCTGAATTTCAAGTTGACAAAGTCAACTTCACTGCTGCTAAGATTCATGCGAGCTTTTATTAAAAGCAAATTCTTTTCTCACACGTGATTGACCAATGGACAATACAATGTCCATATTCCATTTTTCTTCTACACACCACTTAAAATTATGGTTCAACCTTTTTCACATATCTAAAATTATGGTTCAAGCTTTTTCACATATCCTAAGTCCCAATTGGACTTGAGAAAAAGATTCGGATTATAAATGTGGGAAATAACTTTTACAACAATTAAGTTCGAGTCCTGAAAATGGAAATTTTTTTGGTAGGAAGTGTTTTACGTCCCTTAGTAGGTTTACCAAACCTAAATTTAAATTAGTCGAATAAGTGAGTTTTGAACAGTGAATGATTAAGGGCCTGTTTGTCCATAATAAATTTTTCCTTTTTTTGAATTTTCTTTTCAAAAATGTGTTTGTCCATGAAATTTTGCAAGTTTTTGGAAAAAAATCGAAAATGAATTTTTCAAAAAGACTACTTTTTTAAAAAAAATTTAAAAAAAAAACTTTTTTCCTCTCTCACGAAACTGCAATATTTTTTCAAGTAAAATGCATGTACAAACATAATTTTAAATTCTAAATACTATTTTTCAACTTAATTTCAAATACTACTTTTTTTTTCAAAAATTATAATTTTTATGTCCAAACGCCTACTAAATAAAGAAGATCGATTTAAAAAGGCAGCATGGTGCACAAAGCATCTCGCATTCATTCAGGATCCGTGGAAAGGCTGTCTCCCAAGGAGTGTGATGTAGATAGCCTATTCCAATACAAGCATCAGTGGCTTCGCAACTTGAACCCGCAACCTATAAATAAAAGATGGATTTGAATATCAAATTTAGCAGTAGATGCCAAAAAATATCATTTTGCAGAATTGGCTAATTTGGAGAGAATGAATGTAGCTAATATTGTGAACAACAATGATTCATGCAAAAAAGTAGTAGTTGATGTCATTTCATATTTTGATAAGGAAATTACCTATTACACAAAATCATGCTTGATTAGGTTGGAATAGAAGGAGTGGTCCATCGAGCTAAAAAGATGTTTCATGATGATGATAAAGGGATAAGATTTCTCAAGTACAACAAAAAGGGACCACTGACACTTTGCTAAAACAAAGTCATTGAAATAAAAAGAGGTCCCCAAAATGCAAAGCCCCATTTGTACAAGCAAATAAGAGATGGACCACAAGTCCACAACCAAGAATTGGGCATGGTTTCAACTTGATGATCAATAATATATATATATATATATATATATATATATATATATATATATATACTCGTTCTTTCAATTCAGAGGCCATGACGTTTAAATTCTAAATCCGCCGCAAACACATAAGGGATTAGTGTATTTTAATGTGTAGGTAGATTATCAATTTTAGGCCCCGTTTGTCCATAAAAAGATTTTTCTTTTCTTTTTTTTTTTTAATTTTTTTTTCAAAAATGTGGTCCATGAAATTTTTTCGAAAATGAGTTTTACAAAAATCAAAAAGTGGTTTTGATCACTTTTTCAAAATTTTCAGAAAAATATTTTTCCCTAACAAAATTGCAATATTTCTTTAAGTGAAATACTTGTTCAAACATAATTTCAAATTTCAAATACTATTTTTCAACTTAATATTGTAATTGGTGAAAGCGATGAAAGTTTTTCTATCAATATATCACAAGGGGACCACTGACTCTTAGCCAATTTTGTGTCTGTTTTTTTAGACTTCCATTGTATAGCTTTGGGATGCCAATTGACACTTATTTCGTGTATTGAGCTTTTGATACATTGCAGGTTTCTTTTTAAAAAAAAAGAGAGAGAGAGTTTTCATTTGGTGTTAGTTACTATGTTGGATTGAGCCGCGATCTATCGAACACAGTCTCTCTACCTCCACAAGGGAGGGATAAAGTTACGTACATATTATCCTGTCCGGACTCTACTGATGGGATTATATTAGATTTGTTATTGTTGTTGTTGTTCGTTACTCGTATTAGGCCCCAATCAAAATTTGGATTCGCATAGGAAAGTCTCATATTAAGGCTAAAGCGCTCTATAACAAAGGTGACTTGACACTCAAGGTTCGAACATAAAATTTTCTAGTTAAAGATGACGAAATACTTACCACAACACTACAATTCTTGCCATGCAGGTTTTTACCACAGTACAACTAGCAGCTTCGAAGAGAAAATTTGGCACGAGAATTAGGAAGAATGAAGAAAAAGCAACTTTTTATCATTTTAAAAATCATATCTTTATTTATGATAGGGAGCATCAATTAATAATTAAATAACTAGCAGTAGGTAATGCTTATTAATTAGCAAGATCATCTCATGTTAGAATAATTAAGTGCTAATTGTGCTTCAACTAATCACAATTAGAAACGTTAACCATCAAAAGAACAAACAAGACAGGCCACCAAACCTTTTTCTCATTTAATATGTGTGATTAGTTAATGGCTTGTAGGTCCTAATCCTAATTAATAAAGTACTAATTAATCTCTATACTGCATTTACCTTTATCATCAACGATGACATTATCAGGGGCGAATGTAGTGTTCCACCAACGGATTCAATTGAACTCATAACTTTCGACGTGGAATAAAAATTTATATATAAAAATTTATTAAAATTGCAAAATTGTAGATATGAACCCATAACTTTAAAAATATAATGGTCTCAATGCTAAAAACTTTAAAAGTTGAATCCATCCGCCTCTAGACGCAATCTCAAAAGGAAAAAGAAAACAGAAAAAAGATCTCCTCCGCATAATTTAATTATAATATTAATTAATTGATAATAATAATCACAAATGGGCTTGGTTGAAACTAATAAATTTGTTAATGCAAAGAATATCTACCTTTCGTCATGTAGCTGAATCTGCATGAACAATTTTTATACTTTTCGTATTTTTCTTTTTTTTAATCTTTTTTGTTCTGAAACTATGATTAATCACAGAGAATCCTGAGATTTTTTGTCATGAGAAATATAGGACAGGAGACAATGTTGTTAACTGATTCCACCCACATTATGTTTACTTTATGAGTGGATAATGCATTGTTATTAGTACTAATTAATAAACAAGATGATAATGCTTGATTATTATTAAAACATTTTCTTGGATCACCTTTAACCCACAAATCCCAATTAATCACCTCTTTAAACCCCTAATTATCACTGACACGTCCTCGCCATTTTGATCCACATTTCTTAAATATATAGTCAAACACTTCTATAACAGTCTTGTCTGTTCAGAAATTTTTTTGCTGCTATCGTAAATTGTTGTTATATAGAATATATATTATAACATAATATAAAAAATTGATTCCAAAGAAAACGTGGCTATTATATTAAAATGGTGTTATAAAGGATGTTTGTTATAGAGGTTTTATTATCAGGTTAAGCTTAACAATATTAAATTTTGATTATCAGGTTTTGAATGCCTTAAAATCAATTAACATGTGCGAAATCTCTAAAAGATTGAAGTGACAAGCTAATAATGGTGGTTGTTAGGAGATGTAATCAATAATCATGTATAGAAGACAATGAGGATTAGTACATGACATTTTCAATAAATCCAAAACTCTCCAATTCAATATAATCTAAATTAAGGAAAATAATAGTTTTATTTCAATTTTGATCCTTGTGCTCTTCAACTAAAGTATATTTAACCTTTGGGAGTAATTCACATATGTGCATATGTAAATAAAAATTTATATGCATCCGACGTTTAATATTAAATTAATAAATATAAGCAGCCTGAAGCACCACCTTAACTTTTGTTTGTTGCTAGGGGTATACATGGACCGAGTTGGTTCGATTTTTGTCAAAACCAATCAAACCAACTACATCGGTTTGGATTGATTCGGTTTTATCGGAGTTTTTCGGGTATTTTGTTACATGAATATTATTTCAATCTTACTTTGTTAAAATTATAGATAAAGTTTTGATAAGTAAATTATGTTTAGTACAAATTGAAAAAACAGACAAACATGTGATCTATCAAAAATATTCTTTTGGGAGAGTTTTCTTAGTAATACATGATAGTTCTTTCTTAGTCATCTAACAATAATTTTTCGTTGATTGACGCTTTCAAGGTTAACCAAATTTAATAATGAGCATAAAAATTAATATGATACCTAAATAATGATATATTCTATTTAATTTTAAATCCTCGAAATACCATTC